AGCCTAGAAACCATGGAGATGACTGCTATTTTTGCTCATGTAATGTGCAAGGCTATAAAACTTGAAATAAAAAAGAAATTTCTTATCTGAACCTTCTATCTGTTATAGGACTCATTTCTCATGGACCTGATGTACCTATACCTACTCCACCAGAGACTCTTGATACAGTTTCATTTGATTCTGAAGTCAATAGAAATGATGACAAGGATTGTTTTCAACCTGAAATTCTAGTGAACCACAACTTTTCACATAAGGTGAACTTAATGATTTGGTGAGAAATTTGGGCCTTCCAAAGGATTCTTCAGAGATTTTGGGCTAAGAACTTACTTTCTCTAGGAACACCATTTTACTGGTACAGAGTTCGTGAGAAAGAGTTTATACCCTACTTTTCACAAGAAGGTTCACTGGTTTATTGCAACAATATTGCTGAATTAATACCAATGCTAGGAGCTTCAGTCTATGAACCAAGTGAGTGGCAATTGTTCACTGATTCCTCCAAAAGAAGTCTAAAAGGTGTTCTCCTTCACAACAGTAACATATATGTGTCTGTTCCTATTGCTCATTCGGTTCACTTGAAACATATGAAAATCTTGAACTTCTTCGAAATAAGGTCAAATACAAAGAACATGGATAGTTACTTTGTGGAGACTTAAAAGTCCTTTGCATGTTGTTGGGTCAATAATCCGGTTATACAATGTTCCATGTTTTTTGTGTGAATGGGACAGAAGAGCATGAAATCAGCACTGAATAAAGAAGCAATGGCTACTCAGAGTCAGCCTGATACCAGGATCTAAAAACGTTGAACATGAAAGTTTGGTTGGGAAACAACAAGGACCTAAATTATGAAAATATTGTCAATAATACGCTCGATAAATGCAAAGAGTTGGGTTGTCGTATGATCTTGAAAATTCATTTCTTACACTCACATATTGACTATTTCCCTGAAAATCTTGGTGCCATCAGTGAAGAACAAGGAAAAAGGTTTCATCAAGACATCAGGGAAATGAAGAGGAGGTATCAGGGAAAGTGGAACATCAGCATGATGGCTGATTACTGCTGGTCATTGAAACGAGATGCTCCAGACACAATACATATAAGAAAGACCATAACATTAGTCTTGAGACTAAAAGATGTAGATTTCACACACAAAAAATCAGAATGAATGAGGATGTATATTCGTTTGACATCAATATTCTTCCCTTTTCTTCAGTTTGTTTGTATTTTTGTTAACAAACATAATAATAAAAAAATTTTCATTGTGGTAAGCGAAATAATAATTTGATCTAAGTAAGAGTTTTTTTCTTCTTCCCGATTTGTAAAAAATTCTTATGTGGTAGAAAATTAAAAGAATATTATTTTTCGAAATCTGCGTAGCTGAATTATGGAAAATCCATTATTAAAACCAAAACAACTTTTTTTTAAGTTTAAATTCGCAGGCCTGTATTATTAGTGAATTGTTAAGAAATAATTATCAGCAATATTGGTTATTAATGGGCAAACAAGAAGAATTTATTTCATTAAGTAAGTTCAAGAAAATTATTATAAATACTGGCTAGCACATAAATTAATATATGATAGATAAATAAAGTAGGAAAGAACAATTTACTAGTAATGTGGGGAAACTTTGTACACTGGTAGTTTAATAAATAGTGATGAAATGCATTAGCAAGACTAGTTTGTTTATAAAAAGTGGAATGGTTCAATATGTTACAACATAAGAATGGATAATTTATTAGAATATAGGAGTCATATAGTAGCAATGTCTCAGATATATTTTTTTCACTAAATGGATGAATTTTGTTATAAAATAACAAATGCTTGTTGGTACATTCTTATGAATAAAAATAATTTGTTTAATAGACAAAAAAATTGCAAAAACATAAAACTCTTCCTCCAAGAGAGTCTATACACTAATGCTTCCCGACTTTATTTGCATGTGTATACCAAAGTTTTCATGAAACAGAAGATACTTCCAAGGGAAACTGCTAAAGGATCAGGAATGAGATTTTCAGAGTGACTAAAAGTAAATTTCTTTTAATAATAAGTGTATAAAAGATTCCCATGTCACTAAAGCAATTTTGTTACTACTGACATAAAAAATACAATTTTTCTCTTCTTTAAAAGCTTCCCTATGGTATGAAATGATTCATGTTAATTTCACATGGAGAGGCTAATATTTCATACATAATTTAAAAAGACAATAGGTTTTGGTGTGTAAATTAACAAATATCGTTTAAAAAAGCTCATGAATTGTATATTTTCAAGACTTCATATAACAGATACAAGATTAAAATTATTTAGAAAGGCATAAATGCAACTATTTAATTAAAACTGTCACATTTAGTTTAAGAACCTAAGTCAGGAACAGCTGTAAATGATAGTACCTGCTAAAAGCCTTAGCAACTGTCCCTGATGGAATGATGACATAACCCCGCTGTAAAATACAAAAAGTAAAAGTAGGAAATGTCCTGCTATGAGCACGATTTTGTTTAAAAAAAAATTACACATTTTTTGTTAAGAATAATCAAAATAAATTTCATGGAATTTTGAAATAGTATAAATGAAGAAGAACCGAGGGCTTAATCATCTGAAGACAAAAGAAAAAAAAAGTATTTTATGCCAATTATAAACTAACATAAATTTAATAGGATGTTACAGTTAGTTGAGATTTTAAAACAGAAAATAAAGAAAAGCTACCACCACAGTCTTGTAAAAGAAAAAATACTTACAATTTCTTTCTTTGGAGTAATTAAAGCCAACTTTGTTGCTGAAGAAATGCCAGTTTTCTTGGCTGCATGGGCTATTTCTGTTTGAAGTTTTTCCAACTGTGACTGAATGGGTTGAAAAACAAATTGCATTAACTCCACCAACAGACAAATGAACAGTAAGGAGTATCCTATTAAATCAACAGTGCAAAATTTAGAAATTAAGAAGAGAAGCTTTAAGTTCTTTGTTCTAAAATAACCATGCTTAAGAACTGATCTACCTATTTCTGACTTCAGTTATTAGAGCCATTCCAAAGATAATCAATAAACTTAAAAAGAACAAAAATATTAGTTACAACAAAAATAAAATTTAAAACTTCCTTGGTGAAATATATTCAAATTGTAAATAAGAAAAAATTATCAACAATTTTTTAAATGTGCATTTTTTGAGTGAAATTACTAAAGATTCAAATTGAACACATTTTTGTGTTATTTGGTATGTAAGTAAAACATCTCAATTTAGCTGCAATACAATATCAAATATTCAGGAAAGTAACTGTTGTTTTTGTCTCTTAGAACATTTTAACCATTTTTTGGTATTTTCAGCTCTTAACAAATCTTAGTTGCATATGTTTGATACTTGTTTTACTTGACAGTTGTTTTATTTCAACAAGTTAACTTATCAGAAGGTTTGTAACATACAACCTTTACAATTTCATGATGTGTCACATGTGTACACAGATAATTAAGCTTAGAATGTACAAAATTCATAATTTTAATTGTACAACATTTTTCTTCTTATCATGCAGTTATAAAAGATTGATGCTGTAAGGCCCACATCGTTCTACAGAAGGTGGTGTTCATTCAATACTTGAAGCTAAACAGATTACTTCTTGTTTTGGATAATAATAAGGAAGAGTTAAATAATATGCAGAAGAAAACAAAAATGGCAGGGAAAAAAAGCATCTTTTATATATATTGTGAACTGTGGTGTCTGTCCAAGCATTCACCTGTCTCCCATCTGAAAAGCTGCACCTGCAGGCAAAGCTCAACATTCACTTTTCAAATGACTGGAGAACAGGCATGAATAGTGTTGATATGAAATATTATTTTGCAAGCAGGATATTCTATACTAAATTGTTAGGATTTAATCACACTATCATTCACATTTCCAAATGTGATGTAACTTCAAGAATGAAAATGTAGATTTACCATATGTTATTGTTGAGTGGTTCTTAGTATGACTGAAATGCTCAACAATTACTTTTTGCAGTGGGCGGTATAAGTAGTTCAGAGTTTTGGCTCTGAGTGAAACTGAGAGTGCAACACAATTAACCTTTTTAAAGTCCATGAAATAATTTAAATTGATAGATTAACTTAAACTTTTCCCATCACTGGGGTTGGGCACTTTTGCTTGTGAACATACAAGTGATTAATATAATTCAATAAAAATCACCATATTGTTACATGAAAGTAATCTGCCAGTGAACTATCAAGTTTTGGTCACTAGTAGAAGCTGTGATGGGTTACTTGAAGAATCAGGAATTTTCTTTGAAGTATATCCTTTCTTTTCTCTAACCCCTAAGTTTGAAGCACTTGTAAACCATTTAATGGTAATAAATTTGTATCTGATGAATCTGTCACTTAAAAACATAAGAATAATATTCTCTTTTAAATTGTGTCCCAGTGTGCCAAATACAGCAGATACAAAGTTGCCAACAGAGGTATTTCTTACATATCTAGGTTTTTTAAAGAAAATAACAGATTATTTTTACTTGAATGAATTTAACTATGGGAAACAATTATTTTGAATGTTTAATAAGAAAATTTAAAGCTGTCTTTTTTTCTCAGTTTATACGCTAGCTAAACCATACATTTATGTGATCACTTTCACAATTTTACAGTGCAACTAGCTGAATTACCCATTCCCTGCACAGGTGTCCACAAATTACTTTTAAGGTCATTTATTTAAAAGATTGAATTTTCATAACATTTTAATTTTTACTTAAACATTTGATTTGAAAAAAAAATTACACACGCTAAATTAAGCTTCTTGATATACCACATTAGATGTTGTTCCTTCCTCTGATAATATAAACAGGTTTTGATGAGATCCAACCCTTGGACATCCTACACAGAATTGACCAAGTGAAAAGAAAGTCTGCTTTAGGAACAATCCATCAACCTATAAAACTTTGACCATGTGCCTTAATAATTGACATTGAAAAATAACTTGGAATTGGAATTTTCTAAATTCAAATGGGTAATCACTTGGTAGCAAAGGAATTCTTGGAATGAAGGCATCTTCATCTTTGGAATAACCAGTTGCAATTGTTGCTTCAATAACATGTGGCGGAAAAGTCTTAACAATTAAACTGGAGCCATTACATAATTTTGGAGAATTAAGATTTCTCAACAACATTATTGGTGAACCAGTCTTTAATTTCAGAAATATGACCTGGCATCCTTGGTGGGTCAAGAGAATTTAGGAATTCAGTTGGGTAATTTACAGCATCAACTGTAATTGGAACACTGACAATTGAGCTGTAGGTGAATTCCTGTCTGGGAACCTTTTGCAATAATTGATCATTTATGTCACAAACAGTATCATTTTGAGGTGCAAGAATTGCTCTTTTACACAACCATTAATACTTTTGACAAACATTATGAAACACCTTTTTCCTTTAGCTCTTCTGCATCCTTAACTAAGTTACCACATTTGTCTGGAATAGTAATGTAGTTGTTTGATTGAAAACTTTCCAACATTAACTGAAATTATTAAAAACAGAGAAAATAAAAATAAATCACAAATTAACATGTACATTACACATTCAATATAAACAACATTGTTGGCCTAAAAACAATATCATGATAGTTTTGTTGCTCAGCAATGATGTATAGTGTTGAGTATTACCAAAAGGAGCCTTTAAGAAAGAAACCGAATTAAAAGCCAAAAATTAGTATTTGTGGGAAACCTGGTGGGAGTTTTGCCCCTTCATGTTACTTCTACGGACTGTAGGAGTCACCATGCCCAAGTTGGTGGTGATATGGTCAAATAGTGTGAAAAGAGTTAGCAAACAGACAAATATACAATTTTGCTTTTTTTATATATATACAAAAAAAAATAGTTGCAAATCTTAACTGAGTTCTCCTAAAAGAAATAATGTTTTTAAATTCAGCATAGATTACAAAAATAATTACATAATTTTATTTCATACAGTAAAATAAACATACTTGTAATATATTAATAATAAAAGAGCCTGGCATGGACTAGTGGTTAGGGATCTTGACTTGCAATTTGTAGGGGGTTGCAAGATTGAAAGCTGTCATTGAACATGTTTGCCATTTCAGCCATGGAGGCATTATCATATGATGGTCAATCCCACTTTTCAAGGATAAAAAATAGCCCAGGAGTTGGCAGAGAACTGTGTGAATTAGTTGCCTTCCCTTTAGTCTCTCACTTCAAAATTAAGGGTGGCTGGTGCAGGTACATCTCAAGTGGCTTTGCACAAAAATGTTACATTTTGAATTTAAACAGAACCAGAAAGATTTATAGATTTTTATTGTGTTGTATCATAGATGTTTTTAATTCTAATTCAAAAAATATATATACATACATATAAGATACAAATATTTCTCACTCACCTTAGTTCTTAGTCGTTGAGCAAGATGTTCAAATTTGCCTTTTTCATGAAATTTAAATCCCCGCTTAGGTCGATGGGAACTTTTAATGCTAGGAAAGCACGAGAAACATGACAACACAATTACAGCTAACTTAAAAATTATTAACACTGAAAAATTGAGTTCAACATTACAAAAGCCATTTATCTTCAAATTCCTACCATTTCTTTTTACATGCACACATATCCACACAAAAAAAAAGAGAGAGAAAAGAAAAATTATATTGTCATTTTAAAATCTCTAGCAATGAAGTGACACGAATCCATTTATTCTTTGCAAATTCTGTTTATAACTTTTGGAAACTAGATAAAATGTGAATAATTGTTTTCAAGAAACACAAATTTAAAGCATTAATGATCAGAAGCATGTGAGAAACCTAAAACAAAAATTAAAAACTTACAAACTGAAAATGAATTATAAAATTGTGATGCAATTAGTATCAGCTTGTTTCATTAGAGCATGAAATTTTCCATTTGGGAAAATATATATGTGGTGTTTTTGGTTCAGAAGAATATTGGCACATAGGTAAACTACTCCTGCATAAAAAGTGGTTCAAAGATTTGGTTGGGCAGAATGTTAATGTGAGAACAAGTGCAAAAGTAAAGAAACAAACAATTTTGATGAACACATTAAGCATTGTTTATTTCACTACATTAATACTACATCTTCCAGGTTGAGGATACAAAAGTGAAATAAAACTAAATTAACTAGACCATTCAGATTAAGAAAATAACTACATTACTTAAAAGTTGGGATTAATTCTTCCAAAAAGTCAAAACAGAATCTAAAAAGTACATTCTCTCTCTCCAACTGACCAATCAGAAAAAGGGGTATTGAGATTCAGAAATATCTATGCTCCATGTGAAAGCAGCATGGTATCCTCCAAACACAAGGTCAAGTAGAATACAATGCAACTATCCCATGATTTGATTGTATGTTTTTAAGTACAAAGCTACACAATGAGATATCTGTGCTGTGCCCACCAAGGGTATTGAAATCCAGTTTGTAGCTTGATAAGCCTTCAGACTTACTGCTGAGCCAAATAAGATCCTTGAGTAATTAAGTTACAAAAAGGCTGAAATTTATCACATAACCTAAATAAGATTTAGAGTTCCAAAATCAGAACTTAAGAAAAGATAATAATTATGATGAAGATGAAATTGTCTCAATAAAGCAATGTTACTCATTTTTCACAAAACAATATGTGAATTGGTTTGCCTCCTAAACATTTAAAAAAAAAAGAGGAAAGGCCAACTTAAAAACATAAATTATTTATAGTTACTGCAATAAAATCAACAACAAAAAATTTATTACCCACTCTAAATGACTAATAAACAAATGAGAGATCTTTCTGTTTTTTACTGCAGTGAAGGTATATTTGGTGAAATACAACATTTCTATATGAAGGTGTTTTGTTTGTTAAGCACAAAACCTCACAATAAACCATCTGTGGTCTTCCCACCATGTGTATCAATACCTGATTTTTTAGCATTATAAGCACTCAGACATACTCCTGAGCCACCAGCAGTTAAAGATGCTTATAAAAACATTATGAATGCTCTAATATGAAGGCAATTTAAAATTCAATATATTTTAAATTCGAACCAAAAAATAGATACATGTTTAGTGTTGGTAAGCTAATGTTTGCATTTGTACCTACTAACCTGATACTTAGTCATATCAATGTTTTAGAAATTATTTTTTCCCCATACCAAGCAATTCTGACAGAGCAGAGACTAAAATGTTTAGTAAGCTTTATATATGTAATGTAATACATGCCCTTTGCCAAAATGTCACTACCATTCAATGAGTAAGCAGATCTGCAGGTGTGGTTTCAGGCATGCATACAATAGCATCAAGGCACTTACTGCATTCAATTTTACATGTAATATCTATTTTAGTATTGTTGGGTTTATTTCTGCTATTAACAGGGAGGATAATTAGTTTACAATGATTTGTTAAAATAATTTTAAATTTCTTAGCAAGTCTTATCATTGTGATTCTAAGACTTCAACTGAAAAAGTTCACAGATTATGAAATAAGTTATGCAATACGCATTGTAATTATCACTGATCCCAAGGGAAATTTATGAATACAAATAATAATCATTATATACATATGCATAACTAGTTTATACACATACCTTACTCTTGGGTCAAAGAAATTCTGTTCTGTAATGTCTTCAGTAACTTTCTCTTGACTTAACTTGAACTGTTCTCTTTTCTGAGCTCTGATGTTAGCCTAACATGAGATTTTCATCATCAACCAATATACCAAGCAGCATATAAGATATTCATATAATAACATCATTTCTTTTAATTTATGCTTGGAGCAAGTTTCTAAGTTTCACAAGCTCTGAAGTTCACAAAAAGTTCTTTAGTTATTGGAAGCAAGTCAACAATAATTGATATTGGTGCTGACAATGGGTTTTTTCAATGAGAAAATCTGCAATTGTAGAACCAGTCTCATAAAATTTATAATCCAGTGAAAAGTTTATAAATAACTATTGAAAACTAACCTTTAGAGTTGGCATGCGATGAACAAGCTGTACTTCCTTTCCTGTAATATCAACTGTTCTCCCTTCATCATTCAAAATAAGGGGTGTAGGCCTGTAACAAAACCAATTATACATAAAAAAAAACAGAGCTTAAGTTTTAAATTTTAGTTCATTGTAGTACATTAATAGCTTGAACTCCAAACAGCATCTTCAACCTTCTGATAAACTTATTGTGGCATACAATATTCACTATCTTAGTTTTTATCATGAATATGCATAATTTTATCTTGAATATAAAATTTTATTAAGGATTACAAAAATCACAATCTATAATCTTCCGTTATCATTTAGAATTTATAGACCAAATTGGACAGAGTAGATATAATATCTAAACATAATAGCCTATTTAACCTAAAAAAACTTATTGTATGTCCCTTTTTATGACCATTTAATCAGTAAAGTTTTACTCAATGTTAAAATACAATGCATAGAATAAAATGTTCTCTAGAATCCAAGCCATTTTTGTTTTTAAAATCTAATCTATTACTCTCTGGATACAGATGAATCAAAGTGCACATGCCATTATCCCTTTATGGAGTTACAACTGAAATTTAATTAAATCATTTTATTATCACTGTATGATAATAATCTTAGCATCGAAACATAGCTCATAATTCAAATTTTTATATTATCAAAGTTTAAATTTTTAATATAAAAAGGAAATATTTAAATAAATTCTCAATCTGCACCTCTCTGAACTACATGATGACATTCCATTATTAATGCTGTGACATTCCATTTATAGATCTGTTTCTCTTCAATTACAGACTTAAGATTGTTCAATCAATTAGAAACACATACTATGGATATTTAAAATCCAGATTATAAAATATCAACCTCTTATCTTCTTGTTTTACTGAGATATCACAGATAATTTCACTGCAGGGAGATAAAGAATAAAGTCTTACCAAAAAACAAAAAACTTTTGATGTTTATTCAGGAGGTTCTAGAGGTTATGCAAATGAAATATGAAACTATAAGATGAGAAGTATTTTTATGCATGAAAATCACCTTTTATTCAGATTGATTCAGTAAAGGCTTCGCAAATTCACAGCAAAATTTTTAGCAAAAATACTTTGTTTGTTGTGCACAACAGACATTAACATTTTCCTAAATTGAAAATGTATTTCCAATAATACTTACCTCCACTGACACATTAGCTATTCCTTGATGTTGGCTTTGCCTATCTAATCATTGGTCTCACATTCTCCCGTCTTTTATACTCCACTTAAATGCCCTTGGCAATATCTAATTTGCAAATTCCTCAACCTACATCAATGCACCCTCTATCCTGAAAATGTATATTAGCACTTCACTCAGATAATATAATCACTTTTTTTGAGACTTACACCATCCTATTCACTAACACCGGCTTTTGGTAGGGAGGAAAGGCGGGAAAATGCGAGTGGAGGTAAGTATTATTGGAAATACATTTTCAATTTAGGAAAATGTTAATTTCCAAAACATACTTACCCTACACTGCCACTTTAGCTAGAATCCCACATTCTGAAGGTGAAGGGGACAGTGAGGGCATTGTCCATACAGAAAGCATCTGTACAGAATAGGGGTGTACCAAGATAAGAGTGGTACTCAAGTGGGGAACTGCACTACATCAAGAACAGGTATGCTCTTTACCCAGAACTTCATATTGGTATCAAGGTTGGAATAGTACACGAGTAATTATTATAAGCCAGCTCCAACTAAATAATCGAGGTTCCACAACTCGGGGTTGGAATTAAGGGATCATGGTCCCTATATCACCGTTGGTGGCTAGGGCAATTGGACTGCAATGTGATATATAGATATACTTTGTATTGGATCCCTACATGTAGCCATAGAGTGATGTGTTATGAACCACCAGAATTATAATAAGAAAATAGGCAACACTGAAGTAAACAAAATTTTCTTCCACCTGAAGAAGTCCGAAAGGCACCACCCCAGACTTGGAATGATGGGATCATATATGCCTTACTCAACCAAAGGAATAGAACTCATCCAATCTGGAATTATGAATATTCATTCTCTCTCTCCAACCAAGTGGGCAAAGAGCATTCCACTTGCCCCCCAAATTATGGAGAGGACGTAGAACACTGTGTTCAACCAAGGACCTAGAATGGGATCACTTCGTGTTCAAAATTATGAGGAGAAAGTTGATCTTCATTAATGAACAATATACAACTCAACATTGTTCATATGAAGGGCCAAGTACACCCCAACCAGATAGTGTAGGATCAAATCAGAACCAGTATTATGAGTAGGCTCCTGTGTAGGGTAGCACTGCTCCTACCAACATCTAGGAAATACATCCAGGGACCTGGGTAGGAGAGCCCCCAACTTTACTCTCTTCTCCAAGAGTGGAGGAAAAGCCTCTGTCTACAAGATTGATACAGTTTTTTTTAATACAAATATATTTTAATATACAACCAATAATACAATTTATAATAACAGTTATTACAAAGAATGATTTATATAAAAAAGTTTCCCAAACTTACAAGCAATATAAAGTATTCTTTCTAGTCTGGAACATCCTTGATATCTTATTGAGGGTTCACGATGAGCGAGTCAATTTTGAGTTGACATAGGTATAATTCACTTAACAGGAAGCTAGCTAGCTTTGTCCTTCATTATTCACCAGCTACATATACCAAGTTTTTCCATGATGAAGTTATATAATGTCTTCATAAAAATACTAATGTCCGATGAAAATCCACTGAAGTTAAATGATTTGTAATGTTCTAACTTTGTAAATGCTCCTGGTCAAATATCTGAAGTTTTCTGATTAATAAGTGCTAATCACAATTATAGTTATAGCTTCTGAAGTTTATAGCACATTGACTGTAGCAAACTAATAATAGATACGTATTTAATAGGGTAAGTTATGTACATTTGTAAATATAAATTTAATTCAAGGAAACATCAATATTAAAATAAATATATAATAATAAATCCGTCACAAGCATTAGAAGTCCACATACAGGCCCATAAAATGTCCCCCAGTGAATCAAAGAAATGTGCAGTGAAAGACATAAATGTGCTGAAGCTGGTGAGATACAACTCTCAGAAGATTCCTCACCTGTAAAATCCAGAATATGCAACCTGGATATTTGCAAAATCACCTCCAAGGAAGTGGGAATAAACCTTTGGAAACTGAAGTATCCCAAAGAGTATAGAGATGAGAACTAACTCCATGCACGGAGTTAGAGTGAGCCACATAACACTTCTGGGCCTGACAGGATAAAACAAATGATCAGCGTATGATCAGTTGTAGAGGTTAGAAATTATTGGCAAAAGAATTGTAGAGAGGGATATATCCCCTTCCTGGTGTCCAGAGATTTAGAAAGAAAGGACCTATCAGGGTATAGAAGGACCTAAAGGGAGAGATAAAGAGTCCTACAAACATGTCAACAACTCCAGCTGATGACATCATCATGTCAGCAACAACAAAATACCATTTAAGGGAGAGATGATACATGGTACATGAGGCTAAAAGCTCGAAAGGTTGTCGAGACAAGGCATGTGGTACTACCTTAATACGTCGATTAACTAATGGAAAAGGCCATTTGGGAATAAGGCCGGATAGCACTGGGGAGTCTAAAACCATCAGATGTTTAGGATAACTAAAATAAGATGAAAAAGATATGGTGAACACGTTTGGTAAAGTGGGTACAAACTCTTCGCAAGCCACACCCCAGGCAACTGCAGATATTGAACCACAATGAGCTGGAAAGTATATTGGTATAGAATGTTTGGTTGAGGATGCTTCAATAAAGATAAACAAAGAGGAAGATGCAGAGGTGGACTCACATGAAGAAACTATAGAAGAAGAGATCATGGCTAGGCCAGCTAATCTAGGCTAGCAGCATCTTGCAAGTAGAGGATCAGCCAGAACTGAGTAACAGAGGAAGTGAGGGAAAGTTATAGATGTGCAATCCCATCTAAGCAGGACCAATTGCATCTACCACACAAGCCTGAGGAGGAGGTAGCAGAGACTCCAAAGTAGTTAAGTAGCAGTAAGTGTCAAAAGCTAACAATGGAGGCCCAAAATGAGAACAGAGCTATTGGAAAACTGCACAATAGAGAATCCATTTGTTCAGGAGAATGTGAGGACTGAGACTGATTATCTGTTATGAAGTCCATCACCCCAGGAAAATGGCAAGCCAGGAGGCTGACATGATTGGAATAGACCCTACAGAGAAAGAACCAAATTTAAGAGATCACTGGAATGAATGAAACGTCTCATGAGGATATTCCCCTGCAAAAGATCTAGACCTTGCAATATTGCCTGTTGAACAGCAAGAAGTTCTAAAGTATTAGTGTAGAATGAAGAATCGTCCTCCAATAATACACCCTAGAATTCCTGACTTTGAAGATACACACCACATCCCCCAAGTGAAGTATCTGTGAAGAGAAACTATGGACAGAGGGGCAGTATACATACAAACATACATAAATATATATTATACATACAAACATATATATATATGCACACACACACACACACTAATGTGTGATCCAAATAACGAGGTGATCCAAACCAACCACCACTCAAAAATTAAAATGTTGCTCCTGAAGAAAGAGTCTGGAAAATCCATTGTATTGAAGTTCTAGATACATTTGTTACAATGGGACCACTGAAGGGATAGCATGTGTCCTCATCCCAAAAAATGCAAGAGATTTGAGGGAAGCCCACAACCCCAGAGATAGAACCTTCCCTGTAAGTAAGAGCCTGACTGCCCATTCCATAGCCTGGGCATAAAACAGGGTGAAAACTTGTACAACCCACCAGAAGACATATGGTGCTGATGCTAGACAAAAGACTAGATTCCTGAACAGCAGAACCTGATCCCTGTATACAAAATATAGCTAAAAGCAAGATGAATTCACTAAGAGAATGTGGAAAAATGCCTCAGCAACCACAAACCTGGTGAATAATGGGTGAGAAAGGACTCCATTGTGTACTGGGGAGAAACAAAGAATGGGTGGAGATGAGAAAGAATGACGGTCATCCGCAAATCTCCTCTTGCCTCAGGCACAACAAATAAACAGGAATAAAATCCCGGAAGAACAGGATCAACTGTCACTACCACCCCCGTGATCAGTAACTCTGATAGCCGTGAAATGAAAATCTACACCCCACTGCTCAGGTGGAGGTGGAAATACCACAGGGTGAGAGGATAATGGAGGTGGAGAATTGAATGGAAAAACCAATCTCAATACCAGAACCTGAAGTTCCCATGGATCTGCAGTGAAGGAATACCATGTGTCCATCAATAGTTGTAACCTCATTCTAACTGCCTTCCCCCAGGTTGATACCTATGCAGTTGGCATCGGTCGGCCCAAATGAAGTGGCCCTGAAACTAAGGTCTGAGTCTATTCAGCTGCTTGACCCAAAGAAGGTCAAGAGGTCAACAACAACAAAAAAGTGAACAGGTGATGGCAATTTCCAATACAAAAGCCTCTGGGACACCCATGAACCTAAAATGACAATAAAAGGAAGCCACATGTAACACCCAGAAGCTACAGCTGGTAGACAAAGTCCCTTCACTAAGGAATCCCTACAGAAGGAACAGAAGCAGGCAATCTGACCAAGGTAAATTGGTTATCCGCAAATTAATGTGGGGATCACTGGTAAGCTGCCAATAATTTGCGGGGGAAGAAACATCACAGACCATGAGTAAGGAGCAACAAGTACAAAAAAATGTGATTGGTTTATGTGATCACATGAACCAACCTGGAACCTTATATATACAAAATTAAAAATTTTTTTCTGTGGAATTGAAAAATTACATCCCCCTGGAGGTGGAAAGCCAAAGCATGCAAACAGACAAATGAGGGTACAAAGTATATTTATTCCATCATATAATAAAGCAATAAATCTCTCAGCATGAGCCAGGATTATGAGGTGAAGAAGGAAAAACTAAAAAGTCACCCCCCGACTGTTCCACCATCAAGGGAGGAATAGATTTAAAGGTCATAGACAAAAGCCCCAAAAGCTCATAACCCAAATGACTAATTGAAGAAAAAGAGTAGGAAGTGGTTAATCCAAATTTGACTCGTGAAAAGCCAATTTATAATAACCAGTATCAATAAAAAAGGCAATTTCAGAGGCCCCAAGAAAGGAACATCCCCGGGCTGAATATCCCCATGACCATAGAGAGATGCCAGATCACAAAAGAGGAATAAAGAGGTCAGATGCACCGCCATGCTGACAATGGTAATATGGGATTTTATACCCACAAACATCGTGTCCAATTTTCTTTTTTTACAGGAAAATTTTAAGTATATGAAAATCCACAAGGCTACACAAAAATCTCAATCCACAATGAAATGAACCATAGCACTTCATCAGACAAAACCGTGACCAACACTTTGTTGAGAAAAGTGATTACATTATCTGAGTGAGGTGCTTATATACAGTGTCAGCATAGAGGGTGCATTGACGCAGGTGGAGGAATTTGCAAATTAGATATTGCCAATGGCATTTAAGTTGGGTATATAAAAGACTGGAGCATGTGAGACCAATGGTTAGATAGACAAAGACAACTTCAAGGAATAGCTAGTGTCAGCAGAGGGTGAGTTTTGGAATTTACTAAATGCTTGCCAAATTAGTATACTCAAAGTTATAGTATGTATAGCTTTATGATTACATGGTGGATACAAAGTCAGTCAAAATGACCAAACCAGTATGTAGAATTAATCCCATATGTATAGATCAGTCAATTTGACTGACCTTGAAAAACTGTGAAGCTGTACCTACTGAAACTGATTTTCATGTTAAAAACAAAAATACCTCGTTTCATCTAACAGTTTCATATTTAATTTGCATGACCTCTAGAACCTCCTAAATGAATATAAATTTTTTTAAGGTAAAACTTTATATTTTATCTACTCTAACATTAACAGTGGCTAAATCACCTATGTACAGTAAAATGAGCAATACCATTTTCATATTCTTCTTTGAATGTAACAGTTTGGGCAACTTTTAATTTTCTTATATTCACAATTTCTACTGTATACCTTTCCACATCTATTTCATTTTAATTTTATGATTTTATTGACTGGTTTATACCATCTATGCAGTTTATTTATCCCCGAAAACCAAAACATCATAGTTGGAACACATTATCAGATTTTTGAACACCAATGTACTGTGCAGCATGAAATTGTGCATTCAAACACTTATTTAAATATACCTAGTTTTCTCTCTCTCTAAGTTCATTGTCCAAAGAAAAATTCATGTTCCTTTCAAATATGTATTTTGAAGCACAAATACATCACTCACTAGAACAGATATGTTAAAAACAACTATAATTTAACTGACTTTCTAACTAAGCTACAGATAGGTTACAAAATTGTTAATGCTATCTGTTAACTAAAGTTTATTGACATACACTGATAATAAAGTTGTTTAATTAGATCCTGAATGTAACTGTAAAATGTCATGTACTGAAAGGGTTAACAGGTATTTGAAAGAAGAAAAAAAATTACATCTCTCTCTCTCTATATATATATATATATATATGTATAAGTAAATAAATAAAACAAGCAAAGAAATTAATATTAAATGGAGTGACAATTAAAAATAAAATGATGAGAATTATTTGGGTATCTAAAAACTGGAAATAACACACAATTACTCAGTCAGAATGTAAAAAAGTTTGAACTAATTGCATTTATCTTCATTTAAAACACTGATAAAATTACCACAAAAGGATAACAAAAATTATTAATATATGGTGTATTTAATGATAATACTAAGCCTAATCTTCAAGGAACTAAAAAAATATTACCTATCCCCAATTGCTAAATTAAGTAGATTTGGTTGGCTGGCAAGTCGATTTTGAATTCTAGCTGTCAGATCTGCTATTTTTGTCTTGTTATCTGGCTCAGAATTTGGTATGTGTTGCTTGGGTGTTACCACAGGTATACTTAAAGCTTCAGGTGGTATCATTTCTGACTGCTCAGTTCCAGGTATCGGCGACACTTGAGCATTTACTTTGGCAATAGCATCTTGTAATTTCAGGTGCTATGAAAATACCAGGTTGTTTTAAAACATATAAAATTTCCTTATGATCATTACAAGGACTTATAAGTAAAAGTAAAGAACAATGTAATAATATATCAACTACACTTTACATGCCATATCCAGTGTTGACGAGGCCTTTCATTCAATACCAGAGCTCGTCAGAACAGCTGGGATATGACAGACATATTAGTGATCGAGACACTACTTATATCATTAATTATTTGAAAAACAACTGTTTTGGTGTGAATTAGATTTAGTTGGTGAAGTGTAAATTTTAAGAAATAATTATACTTATTGACAAAAAAAGTTTCTGACCAGGTCTAACAATGGTCAACTGGATTTATATATTTTGTTTTCAGCCAAACCATGATGATTCATGTCACAATCCAAATCAGTGCTAGAGGTAATATTCAATTATTATATTAAACTTTTTTGTGTATAATTCAGCCTTTGTCATTTACAAAAAGGTACAAATGAACAAAAAGAAAACAATACTAGTATATTGTAGAATTTTCATTATTCATAACACTTCTTACATTAAATGACTCCAACACTAGAATGCTCCATTTCAAGTTAACATTGTAATTATACTCAATAACAATGGTGTATAAGCATATTCAAGGTATTACTCTTTCTTTTAGAAATGACAATATCATTGCAAAGTTTTTAGGGGTTTGCCAGAAGAAATGCTTCAAAAATTGCATTATTTTGGTTGAATTATAAAATTAATACTAAATATGATTATTTTCACATTATCAATGCAACTACTCAGTGAGTTTCAGTTTAAATATTAACCTTGGACTCGCATATATTATCCAACATACAATTGTAATGATTATAATGACAGTACATTATACATACAATAAAAGGTCACTGTGGATTATAAAGACAAGTTTTGGCATTTGAGGAAACCAAAAATTTTAAAGACAAGAAACCTAAATTATGCTTTTCTTGATAAAGTTCTGATACATGAAATGCAAAAACAAAAAAATGTTGTTTTCAGTCTGTATACTATGATGACACTATACCACAATCCTACTTCTCCTTTAATTAGTTACCAAGTTTCATCATTAATTTTAAATAATAAAATTTGTAATTATATAAGCAAGCAGGGCTTACAAATTTTGATTTGCATTCATCTAAAAAATTACTTATTAATGTCACATATATCCAACATTATGTTGTACATGTGTAATCAATATAGACCTGGATGTGTTTTCTTTTTAAAAAAGAATAAATGATCAATTATGCTGAACAAATGTTTATATAATACTATCAAAGTGTTTAAACAATTTTAATGAAGTGTAAGCAAATCAGTGATAAAATAAACAAAAAAACATCCATCTGATGGCAAATGGATTTTTTTTTAAACTTTTATCCTTTGATAATTATATATGAAAGATATTTAAATCAGAATTAATGTTAACTATTAAAAAATTTACTTAAAAATTAGTGACTAATAGAAATAGAAAAAAAAGTAAAACAAATTCAGTGTTGCAAGTTTTCATCATAAAATGTATCATCATCAATTTAGATATATAGTTACGATGTGAATGCTTGTTCTAAGCTAGTAAAGCATGGTTATAATTAATCATACTTGTTATAAGACATTAGTATCAGTTTTATTGTATTTAATAAAACTACAATCCATTGTAAACAGTGGTTGAAATATTATTAAACACTTTTTCTTCAAAAAGTCCAAAGGGACTGAATACAGAATATATTGTTAAAAATATGATAGGCCTAATGCTATTGTCTTATGACAAGTATAACTAATTAATTTAGATATATATTTAATGCTACTTACACTGAGTGCTTTCTTTCTCTCTTCAATCATCCTCTGTGCATTGGCCATCATCTCTTTGATCTGAAACAGAGTCATTATTAGTATGCGACATTTGCATGCCTTTCAGTGAAAGGAATCAGAAAATTAGATTTGTATTGTCTTAGTCACACTGGAATTAAGCCTGTTTGGGATCAAGTTCTTCTTTGGAGTAGTTATAAGTAATAACATACAAACATGTATTCAATCATTTTAGCATTGCCCCTCTCTCTCACTCACACACAGAAAAATTTAACTGTAAAAAATAGTATATTTTCTTAGCTATTGGTTTAGCCATACCTTCATTAAATCTACTCAGCAGTGACAAAAAGTAAAAGCTCAATAAAGACAAATTATTTACTGACAGTAGTGAACATTTGCAAAAACTACTACCATATCAGACACAGCAATAAAATATAAGTAAAATCAGTATACAGTATTGGAAATAATTAAGGATACCGTGAATAAACTGGGTACACACAATGAAAATATCATGGAATTACTCCCCCTCTACTGTATGAAAATAAACTGCACCAGCATACAGTCATGTATTGATAGTTTACACTGTGATTGACTATCATCTTACTCCCAGAGAAACAGAACCACAGCAGCATAATGCTTATAAAGTATAAAGCTAATTTCAGTTAGGTCCATTAAAACTGCTCGTGATGTTAAAAATTGCCATTATTTACTGTTCTTTTAGTAGTTGGTTGTTTTAACTTACATTTTAAGAAGTTCTTTTAAACTTTTTCACCTTCAACAAGTTGTTTCAAAATATATTAATTTACGTAGTATTTAATTAATGAAATTGTATTACAAGTAAACATATATTAACCTCTATAAAATTGTTAATGCTATGTTTAGCTTTTTCAGTACAAAGCATTTAAAAATTATATTTATTGTTAATAATGACAAAACTATATCTTAACACATTTGAACTTTCCAACTAACTTCATATTATGTACTTACTTAATGCAAGCTTTCAAGCTCATTCATGAACTTTCCTTCTAAATCTGAAATACAGGTTTAAAAGCAATATGTACATTTCTGTACAGTGTACAGAGTATTACCTAACATGCAACAATAAGTTAGATTGTAAATTAGTATAATAGGTTAAAGTTATGAATGGGCTTGAAAGCTTGCATCAAATATATACAAAATGTAGAGTACTTGACAAGCTTACTACATTATTTCCATAACTAAAGAAAAAATTTTTGTTCCTAAACTTTGGAACAAAAAATTATACTTGTTTCTATAGTTAAATTCAAAGTGAAATATTTTATGAGTTAAAATTAATAATATTGAAAGCCAAAAAATTATGATATAGATGGTGTTAAATTGAAATTCATACAATACAAAACAAATTTTTCAAAACGAAATATTCTTTTTGATATGCAAATAGAAATCATTAAGTAATACATCTTAATAGGTTTACTTGAATGGCTGTTAGCTGTCCTGGGCTTGGCTGGCCTGGTGCAGGAATTGGAGTTTCTTCTTCTTTAATTTTGAGCTTTTTTGGATCAGCAGTTTCAATTTCATCCTAAACAATAATCAAAAATACATATTGTAATACTTACAGTTTTTTCCATCATTACATGAATTTTGTTGTATTGCAAATGAGCAATTAATATTCAAATTTACCAAGAAAGAGTTCCACTGTGTAATATATGTAATTCTGATGAAGGCCTGATTTTCATTCATTTAAATTTCTTTTTAGATAAGTATAAATTTCTGAAGAAAACCTGAAAATTTGGGTATATCTATATATTGAAATAGCTGAAGTAAGCCAATTTAACTCTTAACATGATTGAATAAAACAAACTTCTTTATTTTGAAATTAATATTTGACTACTATAACTTACAGTGCATTGAAAAATTCCAACATTATTCTTTGTACATGTGGATTTCCTAGGTTTTATTCAAGTTCTTACAGCAACTTTGTAAGAAAAACTTAGTTACTTTTATCTAGTTAGACAAATTTAAAAAATAACAATGGGCTATCTATTTTAGAATTAGCATCATATTTATGTATATTCTCTCTCAAGAATAAACTAGTTTGAAACTTTTCAGCAAAGAAAAAAATGCATTTACAACACTTAAAAAGACTGGTTAAGCTGATGCCATCACAAAAACTAAGAGCTCAATGAAGAATGATGCTTTAGGTTTACATTTTAGGTGGACAAAATAAATCTTAAAATTGTATATTTTTCATATGTTAAAATATATTTAGCCTTTTCCATAGTAACATTTTCCCAATGTTTTTTATGTTGCTTGATCATAATTGTATATGTTAGGTGTGGCTGTATGGCATATAAACAAATATACATTATGTAAAACTCCACTGATAAAGAAGATAGTATCCCTCCTTTCTATGTTAGTTGCCCAGAAAACACATGTAGAGGGTATAAACTCACATAAACAAAAAAAGTTAAGATGCAGGTAAGAAAATACAAGAACTGGATGACAGCATTCATTAATAGTAGTAACATTTGTCAGGTAAAGCTTGCCAAACAATAAAAAGCAAAAAATACCATTACAGCTAAGAATAAAAAATAAAATTTGGAAAGTATCCAGTGCAAAATGGATGGAACATTTATGTAATGGTGTTATATTTTTTTACAATATATAAATTTTATTAACCTAGCATTAACTTATAACTTTTATATATTTGAGTTGTATTCAGAAATTAACAAAATATTAAGCATTGGTACATTACAGAGCAATGTTGTAATCTTACAAAACAAAAAGTTCTTAAACATTTTGTTAATTTTGAGAGGCTGTACGGTTTTGAATAAAATGCCAGAAAAGCAGACTTCAACAAGCAATATCATATCTCAAAACCAGATTTTGAACTATGGGAAAATAATCTGTTACATACTTTATGCAATTTTGAAATTATTACATAAATTTAGCTCACAAGAGCATCATATTGATTTATTTACTATAATATGATAAAAACCCTGTAACCCGAGTTTTTCGAAAGGTTCTCCTTTCAAAAGCATTCAAGTTACAGGGTTTTTATTGTTGTATATAGACTTCTTGAACCTACACTTGCTTTTCTGACATCATGAATACTGATATATTTTTGCACTGTTCATAGTTAATTACATGTCTTGTCAATATGTATGAAAATGCAGTGTATTTTTATTATACAAATGTAAGTTGGCACTCATTACTATCTGTTTCAAGTTAAATACATGTCCCATCTCTTTCAATTGCTAATGACTGAAATTAAGATATTCACAACAAATTTTAAAATAAATACTTAGTGTAGCAAGAAAACAAAGAAAATATGGCAATATTTTTGAGCTTTAGAAGAATACAACACAACACTGAAATGATCTGGTAAACCAAAAGTAGCTGGAAAGAATAACTGCCCAGTTTCAGCTTTAGGTTTGCCTAGAATGTTTACAACAATGATATTGAAATGTTTAACATATGTGAAGCCATTAGAAAATTACAGTAATTAATTTTTTCAAATAAATGTAATGTAAAATAAACTGTAGCATCATAAACCTTTAATTGCACAGTAGCCATATAGTAATAAGAAGGCATGTGTTAAAAATATATGCATGATTATTTAAAGAAGTGATGTTAAATATTGTTATTTATTTCAACATTTTTGTAGCAGGATGCTAAGATGGTCAACATGTAAGAAGATACATGCCTGACTTAAAGTTCATAGGATGGATTTGCCAAATTTACAGAATTTGATGTTTTGAACTTTTAAATGTAAACTTTAAGCCTTATATAAAGGCATTTGTTGGTTGCCAGAACAGCTCTTTATCACTTCATATTATAGACACTGATTTTGTTGTGCAAAGCTACACAATGGTCAAGCTGCACTCTGTCCACCATGGTAAATTGAACTTCAGATTTTAACACTGTAAGTCTATAAATTTACTGCTGTTTTGTTGGATGGACAATTATAGGAGAATCAGGTGATATTAGTACTTTTAAGTGAAGTACAGCCATAAAAATTTAACTACAGAAGATTGCTGTTAAAGCAAGAATTACAGTAAATAACAATAGTGATACTAATATCTCTAAATATTATATGAACAATAAAGATTTGTAAATGTAAAATCTTATTACAGTTGGAATTTAACAGTTAAAACTTTATGGTAAAGTAATGAAATATCAACATAACTGTACATTGTTTTTGAAAGAGTTAGTTTGGACATGTTCACCATATATTAAATCAATATTGGATGCTTGAAAACATTCATTGTAGATGGTGTACTGTTCACCTCCATGACAATAGTGTTGAGTAGGTGTTAAAACTGTAAAATTTTAATTAATCAATCAGTAAATTATCTATGACAATGCTCTAATAGTTCATGTAGAGACCCACGTGAAGCCATCTGGTGGAAATATTTAGTTTGTTTTCAAATGGTTTTGTCAAAGGCCATTATAACCTAATTTATCAAAAAAAAAAAATTTAACCATTAATTCTATCTTCTCTACAAGTCATAAAGCCTTTCAAGGAGTGTAATAATTTTGTAATACTGAATTATTAAATTTTGTTTGTGAAGATTAAATTATTTGCCATAATGCTCAATTACTTTTCAAAGTAATTTACCAACTGTTGAGTTGTGTTTTTCAGTGTGTCAAATAAAAAGTACTAGTTTACAAAAACACAAAATTATGCTGCAATACAGTGTTTCTTGGAATATCACAGATGACTGAGTATGTGATTTTAAAAAGACCATATACATATAATTAGAAGGAACCCTGTTTCTAAACAAATATGACGTATTAAAACAATTATGACCAAAAAACAACAAAAAACTGTGCTTTAAGTATTTATTTGTGTTACCTTGTGTCTTTTTCTGCTCTTGGTTTTCACCTTCAAATCATCCAGAGTTTCAAAAAGCTTTTCAGCAAGTTTTCCAGCTTTCGCCTCATCCAGCAGTGAGGAAAGCTTGTCTAAGTGATATAAATGTTTTTGTATTCTCAGTTAAAACTCTACCAATATATTACCTTAAATCAAGATATTATAACAACTACAGATCTTACTACAGCCATTTATTAGCCACATGTCCATGAAACACAACCTTTATTAAGTACTATTAATAATAGCTTATGCTTAAACTGTACTGTAAACTAAAGCTGGACAATTAACTTGATTAAACAATTACATCAACTAGTTTCAGGTAAAATAATCGATTAATCAAGGTTATGATTAGATTAACTAATGTAAAAAAAAATAATCAAAATTACTGTTTCCAACTTGTTCCGTTTCAGTTATTGCAACTATCCAAATAATCAAAATATTGCCATCATGATTTCTCATTATTATTTTCAATTAATTCACAGTTGTTCAGTTTAATCATTTAGTGACATGACCCACAAAAACAATCAACTAATTGAATTAGTGTTTCTGATTATTCTAACTATCAAAGTCTCATATGAGAAGAATTGATTAATTAAATATAATCAATGAATGATCCCTAAAATAAACTGAGTAGCAAATCCAACTATTCAATGAGCTCTACTATGTACTCATATCACATTAATTGTTTTAGTTAAATCATATCTCTTGACAAATTTGATAACACAGTGCCAGTAAAATGTATCACTACTGCTTCATTAACTATTATTTAACTAGACAACTTATTTTTATATAACCCTAACATTTCAAAATCATGTCTGTAAAGAATCTTTAAACTAGATAGGATAGATGAAATATGTATGAAATTTTTGAAATATATATGCATAATTAATAAACAGATTTAAAAAATAATTTATATTATACAATAATTTCATGTTCAGAAAACATTACTCCAATACAAAAGACCCTAAGTAATGGTGTCCAAACGAACTTGTTGCAATTCAAGATAGATTAAGGTGAGACGTTTGTCTAACACAGTCATATATACTTAGTCCTTTAGCTTTTCAGTAATTTGTCTTTGTTAGATAATCTGTTTACACAAACAAAACAAAATGTGGATTTTATTTAAGTATATGCATTATTTTCTTATTATTAAACAAAAATATATACAGCACTGGAAATAATTATAAAAAATATTTTGCCAATATATTTTCCTACTTTGCAAATGAATAATGTCAGTTAATCTAATTCTTTCTCTATACAATCATATTTAAACTTTCTTTATAACTGTTTTCAAAAGCTGTATTTCAATAGTAAATGATCAAACCACTTCAAGGGCATCATAACAAGGTTTCAATCTTAAAACCAAGGTCTATACAAAAACTAAGGGAAATGCTTGAAAACCAAAAAAATTGATATTTTATTTGCAAAAATAAAGTTATTATTTGAGATGTGGGAGAAATTCTACACATACTGACCAGTAGGTTGTTTGCTTTAATACTACAAATAAATGACCTTATAACACCAAATTTGTGATTTTTATTTAATTGGACACACGACGTACCAGTTTATAGCTTTTTCAGGAGTGTCCCTCCAAAACACATACTGTGAGTTACAGTACAAAGTTTCAAATGGTTTAAGTAATAAATTTTAATCAAATCTATAGCATGCATTTCTACAGCATGTGTCTGATATATTAGGTCATCAAGAAATTAATGTCGTGTTTTGGAACACTTTCATTAACCATCCCACAAAAAATGTACATCATGTACAACAGTTAAACAACCGCCTAAATGTCACATTAGTGTAGCCTATATAATGTGTAAAGTTTGATATACTCTAATCCCTTATAGTGATGGCACATGATGAGACACACATTCAGCATGTAGTGCTCTTTGAATACAAGAAGGGAAACAATGCCTCAGTAGTGACAAAGAATATCAAAGAAGTTTATGGAAATGTTTTGAAATGGTTCAGCAAATTTCATTCAGGTGACTTTAACCTTAAAAACTGTGATGGCTCGGGCCGACATGTTGGAATTGATATTG